TCTGTGAACTTGCCAATGTTGACTCGTAGAAAATGGAGGGCATCTTGATAAATTGACATTGCCGTTAAAACCACACAACATGAGGAAATCCTCAATCATGATCTGCCGGTATGGCAGACAGGGATGGATAAAATGAATGAGGAAGTGGAGGGAAGAAACGTGCGTGATAGAAGCATTTGTTTGTCGGGTAATATGCCAATATGCTGCTTTGAGGCCTGTAGAGAGGGTACGCTGCACTAACCGGAGAGATTTGATGGGTAGGTGACATAACCGCGTCATTCAGCATGTATAAGAGCCTTAGCTCTGTGAAAAATCTTTGCCGAAATCTCTCCTTGTGTGCACACGTACCAAACCGATTTTAGCGTCATAAGACGACAATCGTCAATGCAAGCCTCAGTAGGGATATGAGTAGCAGCTTGTTCTGTTGCACTGGTCGCAGGCAGAACTGGATGCGGGGTGTGTGGTGTAGGCGTCAGGGAAATCAGCCGTTCACAATTGCTGGCATCAGGGGCTTCGAGTTGGTGGATAGCAGCAGACAGAAATTGGGCAATTTATCTGTTTGCCAGATATTTTCTTGAAGTCGTGGGTGAGCTGCCCGTGCACTTTCAGGACAGATGCTAAGGCACCAATCCTGAAGGAGCCCCCCAATGAGAATGACAGGAAAATTCCCTAACGCAAGATGACAAACATTTGCAAAGGGTTCTTTGCATACCTGATTCTCTGCTGCTAACAAAAAGTGGGAAAGTCGCCACAAAGCACATCCTGGCTCAACAAAACTATGTGCCCACGGCTTTTCAGTAATTGCGCAGATGCGTTCTTGTTGGATTGCAAAAGCACATAAATGTTCCGTTCCAACTCCCTGGGGGTTTGTTTGAAAACCAAACATGGAGCGATACCAGGAGGACGACTGCGAGGGCTGACAGATGCGCACGGGCTCTCCACCATACTTGAAGAGCAGAATCTCCAGTGTGTCATGGAGACGCAATAGATACAGGTGTGTGGCTCGACTGGGACCAAGATATCTCATATGAATTGGCTGGTGGGCAAGCCAACAAACGATGAAGCCTGTGTCAGCTGTTTTGATCGTAATAAGAAGCTGTCGCAGGAATAGAGTGATTCTGTGATAGGTGCAATGATGCAATAGTTCTTGCCGATAAGTATTAAGGGCATCACTGTTGACAGAGAGGGTGCACAAGGCTTGCACGATCTCTTCATTGAAGAAGATCCATTGCGGTACCGCTGCTTGCTCTGCATAGTCAAGGAGGTTAAGGTCTGTGAGAAACTTGATCAAAGGCTCTTTGCCTAGAATGTCGAAGCGTTTCTCTCGCCTATCCTTATTACTGTTGTCAATGGCTTCTTTGGTTAGATAATGTGGCAGTTTCTGTGTTACTATAGGTTGAGCAATTGGAGGCCTCGTGACTGGCGACATCACTAAGCTCCGATAGTTAATGCGCCGGTAAGGCTCAGGTACAATTGTAGTTTGGGTGCTTCTGCCCGACATTTTGAGATTGTTTTCGATGGCTTGCCTAAAGGAGACATACCCTTGTCTAACATCATCCGGGGAGGCTACACCAAAGAAGCATTCGGTTTCTCCTTGGATCCATGCTCGAACGTGATCAGGCGTGCCAATGGCAAGGCTGATAAGCTTGGGATGAAAGGAGTTACCAACAAAGGAGCGTATTGTCTGCGAGTGCAAAACATGTTTAAGACGCGAAATAGTGGCAAAGTTGCGGCTGAGACCTGAAACTTGCAAAACCTCACTGTCAGTTAAGAAACGGAAAGGAACTCGTATACTACTGTTGTGAAATAACGGAAGAACATCGCGAAGCACAGCATCTTTCTCTGGATTAGAGGAGGTTTTGTTGTAGAAGCAACTCAGAAAGCGCCTCCATGCTGGATAATAAATTGCAGGTATAAAATCGCTCCATTGGAAAGCAGGAACAGAACTATCGGTGAACATGTTTGCTATCACAGCAAGCCGTTCATGTGTGCGCCAGTATGAAGTTCTCCACAGCAGTGCTGCAGGATGGTAACTAGTCCAGCTGTAGCGAAGAGCAATATCACTGAGGACTTCAAGGGGTCGCATGAAAGGTTTGATAAAGACGTCGCGAAACTTCCCTTTATCATGGATGGATAGTGGTTTCCAGTCAGCTGGCCATTGGAGGTCTTCTTGGCACAAGGCTTGAGAATCGACTGTGTCATGGAGGATGTTGTTTTGGAAGAAAAGACGAAGTCTTTTTGCTGGCGATATTTTGGAAGTACACCAAGTCATTTTGTCTCGTGTAATGTGCGATAGGCCAAGGCAGGCTCTGATGAAAGTAAAGTGATCATAGTGCATTGAACCTGCATTTTCGATAAGAAAGCGGATATGTGTCTTAGGAAGGACTGTACCAAGTAGATATAGCGCGAGATGCATTGTAAAAAAGAAGACACTGTCAGGACCACAAATGCCTAAGCGTCCATGTTCCTGACCAGCATAGGTGAGGTCAGTACAGGGACTGCCTCCAATGACAAAGACATGACAAGAGTCACTTAAAGTGACGAACTCTCTTAAGATTCTCGCTCCATCATCAAAGAGAAGGTCAACATCATTCGCATCGAGGAAAATGCCTCCTTTGAGGCTGTGTATCCATTGCACGTTAACAGAGATTCCATGTTTTTCTGCAACCAAATATCTGAGTGTTTCATCTCTTTCACACAGAACACAGACTTTGGGGCGATAGCCAAACTTCTCAATAAGGATGTCCAAAGACGATCCGCATCCATCAAACATACTCAAAACAGCATACGGTGGTTTGGATTCACAACTTTGCATGGGTTGATCAATTGGAGAGGCAGGCGATGAGAGGTGATCCGCCTGTGATGACTGCGACAGAGATATTTCAATGGCTTTCAGTTGTTCCGCAGGAATAGTTGCATCACTGGGAGGCGGTGGGCATAGCTTCTCCGGAATGTAAGCAGCTTGGAGTTCGTTCACATTAAGAGGAACGGGGCCAACAACATCTTTTCGATTCCCAACATCAATGGCCCTTTTTGTAGCAAGTTTTCTCTTAGATGTACTTACTTCTCGCTGCCCAAATTTGTTTTTGGCACGTTTTGAGTCTTTGCCACGCGCAATATTGGACGTTCGTTTAGGAGGTCGCGTGTGAAGCCATGTGCTCGAAATTGTCGCATGTCGGTAAAGGATACCACAAATTCGATCACCTGCTCTGAGTTGTGAGATACATAATTGACTCAGCCCAGTAGCATTGTCATACTTCAAGATTGTGGAGTTGGCATTTTCATGTTCTAACACATAGAAATGCTCGCACGGTTGCTGCTCCCCATTCAGTGGGTCCGGACCCTGATGAATAACTAAGGCAATGCATTGCCAAATCTGCCCACCTGATTGGAAAGTATCTTTGTTAAGGAACTTGTCATAGTCTGTTGCAAGTGGCTGGCTCGCTCGTTGAAAGTGCAGCCACACAAGTCGACAGGGTGAGCAAGAAATAGTGGCCCAGTTAAAGTTACTGGCGCATTCTTGACATTCTTGACCGGCATTTATTCCATCATCACGTCCACTGGGCAAAAGATGCTCTGACCATGGAAAAGCCGCTTCAAAAAAGGCAACATGTAATAAAAGTCCCGTCGGTGAGTCGGTGACTATGAAGGTAGCGACATTGCGCTCAACAATTCTATGACAACTCAGACAGGTAAATGAGACCCTAGATCCTAGTAAGTCGTGAAAAGGAGGCGGAATTATAGCGACAATAGACTCATATGTTCTGAGCAAGTCCATATGAGTATCCTTGGGGAGAGCAGACATAGCCAAAGCTAGGTGGTAGTGATCAAAATCATCATTCGGTAGATGAGATGCACACGTCCAGCCTTTAGCTACTGCAACCATTGCTCTGTGGCCAATGTGATTTTCGAAGTTTACTTGCTTGTTCCAATTTGCTTTGGAGACAATGCGCAGTGCAGCCGTGTAGTAACAAGCTGTGGCATTGAGATTCTCATATAGAGATACTGCTCGTTGAATGTCTTCATCCTGAAAGTCCATGTTTTGCAGGGAGACATCACGGCTGATCATCTGCTGTATCTGTTGAACATATGATTGTCGACGTTTGTTTTGGAGGATCTCGTTGACTGAGTTTTGGTTAGTAGCGCAACTGGAAACATGTTGAGCGTTGATTCCCCCTTTTACAAGATGATGGCTAAGGCCATCACCTCGTTTTGGGGCAGGTTTTGGAGTGGGTTTCTTGGCCGACTGTCGACGTAGATCACTAGAGCTTTTCTTAGGGGCGGGCTTTCTGTCAGTGGTCGCTTCAACAGTATGTTTTGACTTGGTCGAAAGGGCCCGATGGCCTGCTTTTTTCTTTGGATCATCTTCTAATTGTTGTTGCAGATCTAGGTATACCTGTTCACAAAACGAATCAGTCGAAAGTTGTGAAGCTTCATTGCCCGACGGGCACTCATTGAGGGAAAAGGGAACAATTACCTTCTCTTCAGGGTGTCAATTTTCACGGGTCATGCCCAAATATTAATTTAAGAATTTGGATTGTATTATATCGTTGGCACTTAGGTGGTTAGTGCGAGATTCTAGTGTGCGACCAACGGCTGCAACCGACAGCAAAACAAGCAACAATCCGGACAATCCGAATCTGAATCCGCCGAATCCTTCCTGTTTTCCCGGTCCTTCTGTGCGTTTCTGGTTCTAAGTCAGAAGGAACAAGTGTCATCATGTAGCAGGGAAGTGTCAGTCACCAATTCCTACTGCGCTAGTTAGTTTCAGACTTCAGAAAATAGAATGAAACTGAAACTGAAACTGCAAAAAATTGAGTTGAGGATTGAGGTGAGTCTCTCTTAAGAGTCTAGAGTATTCGCAAGATTGCTGATTGCTGGCCTACAGCTTGCCACACCCATCCAACACTCTGCAAAAGAAACAACAGCAAACTCAAAAAGCAACACGTAATTTGCGGGACATCCACTGGCCCTACCAACATGAGACTTAACCAGCTAAGCTAAGCCTTCCTGCTGCGTTTTGCAGTCAGGGCTTCTGTGATGCTTGTCTGCTTAGCATCAACTTCGGCTGCATCCCTTTTGGATGCTCGGCCTTTTGGTTGAGATTTCGGCTTTGCCTTAACCTTGGGAGCGGATGCTTTAGGCTTAGGCTTAGCCTTGGCCGTAGACTTGCTTTTGGCCTTGGTCTTGGCCTTGGCTTGAGCTTTTCCCTTTGGGGCCGGCTCAGCCTTGGGTCCAACAACAGTAGCACGAGTTTGAGCCGCAGCCTGATCCTGATCAGCCTCAACTTGGGAATCATCGCCAGCATCACTACCACCATCAACATCTTCAGGACATGATGATTCCTCAGGCTCCTCCAGGTCAGCATCAGCGTGTTCTCCGCTTTGGTCTAAATCTGCATCTTTGCCGCCTTTTGTCATAGCCTTAACAAAAATGCACAACACAGAATACAGAACATCAAATTGCAAACATAACCATAACCCTGACTGACTGTGTGACTATATATAGTTGCCTTCATGACTCTTGATCTTGATAATCTGAGTCTACTACTCAGTCTAGTCTGAGTCTACTCTAACTCGACTCTAAGGTCTAACTCTCACGGTGACTCAAGGTTACATTACATAGACGGTTACTGTTACTAACGATTCCAAATAAATTCTAATGCGATGATGAACCTCATCATCATGAACTTCTGGCTTCCTCTCCGACATGTCCAAAGGCATCTCAGGACCGCCAAGCGATGGAACTGGCGGCTGCGGCGTGGTCGAACCTGGCTGAAGCTCAACCGGCTCAGCCAGAGCTGGCATAGACTCAGGCGCAACACCCGCATGCACCTTAGGAGCTTCCCGTGGTGAAACCTCAGGCAGCTCTCCACTAGAGCCATTTGCCAACTCCTGCTGAACCGGAGACACAACAACCGTCTCAGCCACAGCCTGAGCCGCCTGCACCTTTGCCTGCTCCGCCTCTGGAGCGTCTGGAAGCTTCTCCGCCGCTGCCACTGCCACTGTCCCTGGAGCATCCTCTGCCTCCATCACCGTCTCCGCGTGGAATAGAATAGATTGATAAATGTTATATAGATATACTTGATAGAATAGAATAAGATAAGACAGATTGATAATGAGTAATGATTCGATTCTATTCTATTGTATAATATTATATACATTAATTTTACTATATAATTATATTTATATTTATATTATAATAAATTAGTTATATTATATATATTAGTCCGAGTCCCAGCGCAGCGCAAGTTCAAAGTCCAGTCCGCCAGTCACCAGTCCAGTCCAGTGCCTCAACATGTGGCTCATTCATCAAAGCAAGTAACGGCTTCGGCTCCGGCGCCGGCGGCACCGGCTGTGGCGGCAGCAACAGAGTAGGAGGCGCAGACGGCGCAGACGGCGCCGAAGCCGTCGCCGCCGTATCCATATGAGTATCAGCTAAAGCGATGTGCCAGTCGACCAAGGCAAAGGCCTCGTCGTGTCGTGTCGTGTCGTATTTGCTCCTGCTCTGCTCATGTTAGTCCTGTCCTGTAGTAGCTGAAACGGTTGCCAGTAAATAGTATAGACTTGACTGGACTCGACTTGACTAGTCTAGTAATAGTAACCATAAATAACGATGTCCGGTACCGGTAACTAGTTACTAGTGACTCAGTGACTAGTGACTACTAGTGACTAGCCGCCTAGCCTGGGGACTGGGGAGAGACCTAGACCTAGGGCCTGGGGAGGACCTGTAACCCTGTATCGGCGGCAGTTCTCTGCTACTACTGCCTTCTCGATCGCTTCCGCCATGGCCTTGGCCTCGGCCTCGGCCTCAGCCTCCTTTGCCGCCACATCCTCCATCTTGACACCGTCACCGGGACTGCCAAAGGCTTTTGATTCTATACCCATTTGCAAGAAGCAGTCTGTGAAGGCCTTTGTCATCAGATTCCTGAGCCCGGCCCGGCCCAGCCCATTCCAAACCCAGGTCCCAGGCCCCAGGCTAGGCTGAACTGAACTCCCACAAAAACAAACAATGCCATCACTGACAAGCAAGCATCGCAGAAAAAGCATCCTTGGCGAGAAGCAGGCTCTCCAAGGCACTTTGGTGTGCCAAATTTGAGAAGCACCTGACATAGATGTTGTTCTCGACAAGGGCCTTCTCTGTCACAATCATGCCGCCCGGGACCCAAAGAACCTGAGTGACATCCAAATCCAAAGCTTCAAATTCAAACTAACTTCAAATTTTCAAGTCAATCATGTCATGTCATCTATCTATCATCTCTTTGTCATCTTTGTCATTGTTTGTGTCTTTGTCCATTTGTTCCTGGTAGGGTCAGGCTGGTCAGGGTCCGGTAAATAGTACTCAGTCACAGTCAGCCGGTGAGTCAGTGAGTCAGTGAGTACACAGTACACAGTACTCAGAACTCAGTACTCAACAGCAGTAGTGGTGGTGGTGGTGGTCGTCGTCTTAGTAGTAGTAAGTAGACTAGTAACTAGTAACTAGTAACTAGTAGAGCAGTATAGAGTAGTGGCAGTTGGCAGTGGCAATGGTTTTCAATTTGAACACTCAGCCACAGCCTGGTCACTGGCTACCCTGGTTATGGTTTCATTTTTTGCCAAGCAACATCCCCTTTGCAAAGCCAAACTTGAGAAAAACTTGGCATGCACTCGGAAATGCGGGCATGATCTTCAGCACTCTCAGCCATCATATGCTCAAATCTTCCGCAGGCTTCTGTCAAGGCCGACAAAGTAAACTTGCCACTGCCAGGCTCCCAAGGGGTATCACAGGCAAAGTTGCAGTCCTAGCAGTGAACTTGAGTGGACGTGACTTGACAGTCGATTACGATTACGACTTGAGTCTTTATGATAGAACTTGAAACTTGAGACTTGACTTAGACTTGACTTGACTCGACTCGACTTGCCTTGCACCTTCGCACTAACACTGACTCAGACTCTGAGTCCGAGGTCGACTTCAACAGTTAGGTTTGGTAAGTCAGTCAGTCAAGTCGAGTCAAGTTGCATCTTCAATTGAGCACATAGCCATTGCCCTTGTACCTTCCAATTGGATCTGCATGTGTGGCAAAGCTCCTGGCACTACTCCGCTGAATGTCTTTCCACGCTGGAATGCCACAACGTAGCCATTCTTGTACTTGTCGACTTCGGCCTTCACTTCCTTTTCATGGCTTCCATCCTGCTGCTGCTGCTGGTTTCGTTGCTCAGCACGACCAGCGACAAGATTGCCAATGACATCTTCCACAGATTCTGAATCCACAACCCCAACTGGTTGGACAGCACCCCCAGCTTGCTCCAATGAAGACAGCATGATGCTGTCAAAGTTGAGGTAGCCGATTGCTGCATTGCTCACTTCGCTCAATGCCTTTGTTTTCTTCAATGTGTTTGGATCTGACTCACATTTCTCCGCAAAGTCTGACACGAAGCTGTCAATGTCTGCTGTCAATGCCTTGTTGAGTTTGTTGATCTCCTTTGGACAAGGAACTCCGTCAAAGAACTCGGAGTTGGCCTCCATCATCTTCTTGAAAGCAGATCGCTTCAAACGCAGAATGAGCGGCTTGCCATAGATAAGGGCCCCATCACAAAACTCAGTGACGCTCTCCTTAACGGTCGCTTTGTCTGCTTGGAAGATCTCACACTGAACTCCAGGAACACGGTGCCTCAAAATGCTCCTGTCCTCTTCACCCAATTCGGCCATGCCTTTGCCACGCCTGGTCCTGGCGGCGGCGGCAGCCTTCTCCTCATCCTCATTTTGAGCAGCATCGGCCTCAGCCGCCGCCTCCCCTTCTGCTTGCTGCCGTTGTGCCAATTCATCTGCCCTTTTCTTTTTCTGTGCAACTTTCTCAGCAGCTTTCCTCACCCTGTCAGCCTCTCGTTGCTTCTGCTTCTCAAGCCGAATCGACTCTCTCTTCTCATGAGCCTGTTCTGCTGCACGAGCATTCTTTGCGGCCTGCTGATTGGCTTTGTACTGACTAGCTGAGATCATGGCTGCATCTGCCAGCTCCTTGAGATTTTGGATGGACTGGTAGTGCAGAGCGGCCTCCTCCTTGACACGGTTCACTGAAGGCAAGAAGTCCCAATTTTCTCGGCAGGCCTTCATGTAGCCCAACGTTTGCAAGTTACTGGAGGTAATCATGGACTCTGCAAAGTAGCTGTCTTTGCTGCTCATTGAGTAGACCTTCTTGGCGACCTCATCACTTGAATCCTTGGAGTTCGCCAATCTAGTTGCCAACTTCTCAATCATGAGGTATCTGTTGGTGATCTCTGCCAAGGCAGAATCCATTTCCTGACAAAATTTTAAAGCTGACAAAAGGAAACGGTCCGGTCCGGTCGAGTCCAGTCCAGTCTAGTCCAGAGTTCAGTGACAGTGCTGAGTGCTGATCCCAGTTCCAGTCAAAAAAACATCAAAAACTATAACCCAGGGACCCAGGGTGTAAGGAGGTAACCAACGCAGCCCACAACCATACTATACAATCAATAAACACACAAACAAACCTAAACCGCTGCCGCTGCGCCTCTGCATCCGCTTGGCTGGGCTCCACAATGTCACTGGCCTGTTTATCAAGAACCACCAAGCATGTATCAATTGCCTTTTCAATCTTGATCCCCAAGTTGTTGTACTCCTTCAAAGTACACTTCCTTGCTTTGGAAGCGGCAGCTATAACATCCTTGCAATTCTTCAGGACTTTGTCAATGCATTCAACCCCGGTGTCTGAGTCACAAGTCATGTTCTGGTCAGCATCTTTGGTTCTTCTAAACTTGCTTTTAGCACTGGGCTTGAGCTTGGTCTTGTTGCCGTCGGCGATCGGCTGCATGAAGGTAGCGTGGTCAACCGCAACCAACATAGAAGATAGTTCAATATCTTCTTGATCACAGGCAGCAGTCAAAGTCGCCTGGAAGTCTTTCTGCAAGGCAGCAATGTTGGAATCAGTAGCTTTCGCCTTCTTCTTTAGATCGATGGATGCATTTCTGTCCTGAAAAAGTCAAAGAGATAAGAGTTACTGTAAGAGAGAGAGGCTGAGCTGAGAGTCAGAGAGTGAGAGTCAGAGTCAGAGAGAGGACTTAAAATCTGTGTCACTGTGTCACTGTGTCAGTCGCCGTCAGTTGCGAAGACTGAAGACTGACTGAGAGACTGAGACTCAGTTTGAGTCTCTGAGTACTGTACTAGTGTCTGTCAGTATTCCCTTAATCCCAATCCGATCCCCTCCATCCCAATCCCAATCCTTGTATTGAATGTCTCGAGCCTCTGTAGTTTTCTCGACAAAAATCCTCCACACTCTACGGCCTGAAGGTTCCCCATTCTCCGTCAGGGACTCCACCTGATCTTTCCGGATTGACCTGTTGTTGAAATCCCGGTTCCATTTCGCTGCTGCTCCTTCTGCAGAAAGGCCTGGAATGATAATGAAGGCAATTACAGTACAGTGATTCAGTGATACAGCCTGACTCACAGGTTTAATCCACATAAAGACCAGGCATGGCATGGCACAGACAGACAGACTTTAGTTTAGCTTAGGCTTAGCTTAGCTTAGCTTAACTTAGCTTAACTTAGCTTCCTTTGTTTTGAGTAGACTCGACTCAGACTCAGACTCTTGCTTAAAGGAGATCAATTTGAGTCTGAGTCTGATTCTGAGTTTGAGTCTGAATTGAAGTTTGACCAAGTGACGTCTCCAAGATTCACAATCGGTTGTAAAGAACTTCAGATATTCCGGCCAAGCAAGGGGGATGCCCGCGTAAACATCTTCAGATCTAACACCTGCTGAGTGATGCTGGGAAATAGTCGCCCAATCATACGCTGGACCATTCTTTTGACCACATGGCCGCCCACGACCAGATTCATCCGTCCTCAGCTGTAGTCACTAGGAGTCTAGAGTCTATACTATACAATACAAGGGCCCTGGACTCAAGCTCCAGACAAGGAACTGTTGGCAATACTTCTTCAGATGCATGATGTAGACCTCCTGTAACACAAGCCCGAGTCCATTGAGTGCCAGTGACTCGGTGAGTGACAGACCTTTTAAGTAATCATAATGTAATGTCGTGTC